TTTGCATGCTGCAAATGGCCATAAATATGGGCTGGTTGCTAAGCACTCAAAACATAGTCACATGACCGTGGGGAGCAGACATTGGAATTTTGAAACTGGGTTGTAAGTCCCATTTTCACCGGTCATAAGTAGAGGACTACCTATAGCAGGGGTAGGCAACCTTGGCTCTTTTATGACTCGTGGAGTCCACGAGTCATAAAAGAGCCAAGGTTGCCTACCCCTGACCTATAGCAACCAAGACAAAAGCTGATGTCTTTTAATACAACAGCCATAAAAGGTGCTGCAAGGCTGTTGATTTTCTTGAACTTGGAGTTCTTATTGTGACAAGAACTAAAGAATTCCTCGTTCGTAGAATTAAAAAGGAAGGCAAGTGGATCTTTTCACCAACTTTGAAGCCCATGAGCAGCAGTGTTCCTTGCTCTGCTCTTCTAAGATAGACTGCGTCTGAATATAGCTTCCCTCTAGCTTTCATGGTTAATGGCAGCTAATATACCAAAGTGGTCCCCCAGGCTACTTATTCTCTTTCAGCTCTTGTCAACCAGATGCCTCCACAATTAGTGATTTTTTTCTTTTTCAAAATCAATAGAAGATTCAGAGCTCATTAGATTAGGCTTTTTGCAAGAGAAGGGGAAGATTAACCCTTTCCACTGCTTTCTCATTTAATTTTCCCACTAGCTCCCCAAATTATAAAAAACTCTTTTCTTAGCCACCCAGCCCTAAGTCTCTGGCCTCCAGTTTTAAGAGCGAATCATTGTCCTTGCATCCTGCATCAGGATAGACCCTGAGACACATTTGTAATTTGTGCCTGTTCGATTGGCAGTATTTTTATGGTTGGGGAGGCTGTACTTTTGACTTATCTATTTATTCCTTTTAGCTTCCTAGCCTTCCCAGCTGGTGACAGGGTAATCTGAAGGGCTTGTCCAGTGACCGTTGCATTTTGCTATTCACGTTAGGAAGACCGGGGGGGGGGGGGGGAGAAGCAAATGAGCAGTTTTGCTGAGCGTACAATCCAGTTTGATTTGTGGGCTGCAGCACTGAGGCTGGAGAGAGCTTCCAATTCTTATAAAGTAACAAGTGTGTGTGTGTGTGTGTGTGTGTGTGTGTGTGTGTGTGTGTGTGTGTAGAATAGAATAGAATAGAATAGAATAGAATAGAATAGAATAGAATAGAATAGAATAGAATAGAATAGAGCTGGAAGGGACCTTGGAGATCTTCTAGTCCAGGGCTTTTCAACCTTTTCACCCATTGTACCACTTTTAGGATATGGCACTATCCGAGTACCATCAGTCACCTAGCAAGGGGTCAAAAACTTGATGACCCCCCCCAAAAGGAAAAAAATAATAAAGTACAGGTAGTCCTCGACTTACAACAGTTCACTTAGTGACTGTTCGAAGTTACAATGACACTGAAAAAAGTGCCTCCCAAGCCATAGCCGAGCAAGACACCTGCCTGCCCACCCGGCGGCGCTCTTCCTCCTGTCTGAGGTTTCCATTGTTGTGAGCATTTCTGTTGAGGATTGGCAGCGGGGTGGGGTGGGGGGTGTTTGGTTTTTATTCCCCCTCCCCCCCGTCTGCTGGGTGGTTGCAGCAGGTTTTGGTCACTTCACATGACCCTGGGACACTGTGACCGTCATAAATACAAATCAGTTGCCAAGCATCTGAATGTAAATCACAAGACCCTGGAGATGCTGCAACATTCCAGCTGATCAGCGCTTCTTCTGGGCTCAGCAGAAGCGCCAGGATCAGCGCCGAGCTTCAGTTGGAGCCTGGCACTGATCCTGGCACTTCCACTGAGCCCTGACAGCCCTGCAGCTCAGGCTTGTGCGGTGCTGCCACCGGTTCAGCTCATTCCCCTCCCCCACTACCACTTTTCTAGGATTTTCGCGTACCACCTGCCAGGTGCCAATGTACCACAGGTGGTACCCGCACCACAGGTTGAAAAGCCCTGTTCTAGTCCAGACATGTCAAACACAAGGCCCGGGGGCCGGATGTGGCCCGCGAAGTCGTTTCATGTGGCCTGCGAAGCCATCCTGGAAACAGTGAGGGAACGGCCCCCTCTGCCTTGGCCCTGGCCCAGGCCAGCCGAGAGCCAATGTACAATTTTGTGATGGCCATCTATGCTCAAACGCATTCAGTCTTAGCTCCATAAGCCCCCCCCCACGGCATGGCCTGAGAGGAACAGTGAGGCTCCTCCAGTGGACCATGCCTTGGCCCTTGCCCTGGTTCCATCCCCTTTCTGCCAGAGACCCTCAGATCTGTCCCACTCCTGCCCAGGCCCCCACAGGCACCCTTGACGTGAACGATGTAGAGCTGGCCACACCCACCCAGTAGGCCACACCCACTCCATCTACGCCCACTCAGTAGACCACACCCACCTTGGCCACACCCACCCGGCCCCCTGAGGGCAACTGCAATGCTGATGCGGCCCTCAATGAAATTGAGTTTGACACCCCTGTTCTAGTCCAGTCCCCTGGTCAAGCAGGAGGACCTATACCATCTCAGACAGGTGAATGTCCAGTCTTCTCTTAAAAATCTCCAGTGTTGGAGCGCCCACGATTTCTGGGGGTAAGCTATTTCACTGGTTGATTGTTCTAACTGTCAGAAAGTGTCTCCTTAATTCCAGGTTGCTTGTCTCTCTGATCAGTTTCCAACCATTGTTTCTTGTCCATCTCTCTGTTGCTTTGATGAACAACCTGGCCCCCTCTGCCTTGTGGCAGCCCCTCAGATACTGGAACACTGCTACCATGTCTCCCCTATTTCTGGCTCAGACCATTGGCCCCAAGTCTTTGATGCTTGACTGGGTCGTGCAGAAAATAAACTGTGTCCCAGAATTTCGCTTATCATTTTGAGGAGCCTGCATCTTACAGGGCGAAAGCACCAGGGTGTCCCTTACAGGGAGTCCTCGACTTACAACCATTTGTTTAGTGGCTGTTCAAAGTTACAGTAGCACTGGAAAAAGTAACTTATGACTGGTGCTTGCATTTACAACTGTTGCAGTATTGCTGCGGTCATGTGATTGCGATTCAGGAGTCTGGCAACCAGTGTGTATTTATGGCAGTCGAAGCATCCCAGGACCACGTAGGACAGGGGTCCTCAAAGTTGGCCACTTTAAGACTTGTGGACTTCAACTCCCAGAATTCCCCAGTTTGAGGACCCCTGACGTACGTGATTGTCATTTGCAACCTTCCGTGCCAGCTCCCAACAAGCAAAGTTAGTGGAGGAAGTTGGATTTGGTTAATGACTGGCAAAAAAACCCCTCATAAAATAGGGCGTGGTCACACTCACGCAACGAAAGTGCTTTTTAAAAAACAGTGGAAAAAATGCAGCAATGAAAAGGATATAATAGTAAATAGTTACAGTTCTTTATATAGTTATCCAGTGGAATTATTATTCAAGTACATATCTGTTTGTAATACATATATGGGTTTTCTCCTTTGCATTTCTGTGTGTTTCCATATAAGAACCTTTTTTGTTACTTTTCTGTTGGGCTTACAGCGTGGCTAGTCTTTTTCAGGCAATCATGAAGGAGGTCTGTCTGTCTGTCTAGCTATCTATCTTCTATCATCCATCTATCCAATCCAATCCAATCCAATCCAATCTAATCTAATCTAATCTAATCTAATCTAATCTATTTCCACAAGTGAACCATACCAAAGGAACTTTATGGCCATCTCCTAGAGCACGGATGTCAATGCATCATCCGGAAGCCGCGCCCACCCCATTGCCGGCAATGGCAAAACTGTCTCGATACGTTGCGCGACGTCACATGACGTCGTGAGTTTGACATGTCTGTCCTAGAGTACCTGGGTTTCAAAATCCATGGCGGGAGTTACAACATCAAAGGCAATAGAGATGTTTCTTGCTGGACAGTAACCTAACTTTCACTATCAGGTATCCTCCAGATGTCTTGGTTTTAAGCCTTATCCATATCGAAAGCCAGATGTCCACCATCCCAAAATAGCCCTTTCTTTTCAAAACACTGTTATTTGCTTGTCTGAGAATTCTTTTGATTTCCTTTTAATTAGTCACAATCTGCATGATTAATAAATAAATATTTCTTTAATGCAGTGTTTCCTGTACCTTGGCAACTTTAAGCTGTATGGACCACAACTCCCAGAATTCCTCAGCCATCATTACCTGCTGGGGAATTCTGGGAGTTGAAGTCCACACAGCTTAAATTTGCCAAGTTTGAGAAAACCTGCTTTAATGAGAGGAAAGGAGGGAGGATAATGTTTATTTCAGACCCTTCTTGCTGTAGTTAATGCTGCTGTAATTTGTTTTGCTACTGTGTGCGCTTGTGGGGTAGAAAAAAATTACAGCCTCCCCTGAGTTGAGTGTAAATCCTAGTAACTTCATAGAATGCCCCTCTTATTAAAAGAAAAAGATAGTTTTCCTTTTTGTGAGACCTGCTTCTCTGACTTCCCGGTTCTAATTATAGCTCTGATCTTTCCTGGGCATCTCTAGCCAAGTCCTAATTGGGCTGAGCCCTATTTAGGTAGTGCCACCTGCTGAGACCAGCAAGGGCGTAATCAGCACACAAAAAGCCCTCTCGACTCAACATTTGATAATTAGAAGTAGACTGCCACTGAATATGATGAGTTCCCTTTAGCCCATGTACCCAAATAACTATGGCTGGACCTAAGTGGAAGCCCCTTGTTTATTTAAAGAAGTTGTATGGCCACCTGTCTCACAGAACAGCCACCTGTGGCTCACAGCAACCAATAAAAACAACAACATAAAAATACATCATTTTAACCCAGTGTTTCTCAACCTTGACAATTTTAAGGCATGTGGACTTCAACTCCCAGAATTCCACTGTTTTAACCCCTTGATTCAACCCCATTCTAGCCCAATGCTTGGGGGAAGACTCAGGTTTTCACATCCTCCATGCCCCCCCCCCCAATCTCAGGTGGGGGGGCTGTTCCAAGGGCCAGAGAAAACACATCTCTGAGAGCCTTTTTGATAGCCACTTATTTTGAAACCTTTTCTTCCCTTTTCCAGGAGTTGGAGAAAATGGGCCTCGGAGAGGATGTGGATCTACATGTCTACGAGATTCCTGTTGAGTATCAGGCTGTGCAGAGGCTCATTCCCGCCTTGTGGAAGAAACACAGCCCGCAAGTGAGTGAAGGGAAGCGAGGATGGCGGTGAGGTTGAGGTAGACCGGTGTCAGGAAACTGGCTCAGTTTGCAAACCCTGATTTAGAGGTGAGGGGCAATCATGGGGGACAAGGAGAACCCTGATTGGGGGGACGGCTGTGGCCTCTCACCCACTTGGCAGAAGATGGAGCCAGGTTTCCTGTTTGTGGTGACTCATTCCTGCAGGGTGGGCACAGTCTGCTTTCTCCCTCCCATTCTGTGTCGGGAGAAGACCAGAAAGAAACTGTCCTTTGGTGGCTGAGGGCAGCATTTTTTTCTGCTTGGGGGCAAGAATTAAGCATTTCAATGGATAGAGCTGGACTCTACCATCACTACCCTTCCCTGGCTTTGTTGATCTTCCTGTGCTGTGTATGTTTTAGAAAACAGACAGGATTTGATGATTTTTAAGAGGAACGAGGCCAAAAACAATAGAAGGTGGGTTTGTTGGGAGCTATTAGCCATTCTATCTAAAATAAAACCACAAGTCTCAGTCTGTCTCAGAGCTGGGACCAGGAAGGATAAGAAACAAGTTCTGTTCCACCTTACTTTTTAACTTCTGAGTCTGATTTAGCCTATAGGTCAGTGATGGCGAACATTTTAGAGACTGAGTGCCCAAACTGCAACCCAAAACCCACTGATGCATCGTCGAGTGCCAGGTGGGTGTGGCCCATTGGCTGGATATGGCCCATTGGGTGGGCGTGGCTGCAGTGGTAACAACAGACTGGGTGGGACTAAAAAGTTCAATCAATCAATTTCAACTTTGCAAGATCTTTTTTTTTTTCCACGAGAAGTTGAAATTGACTGATTGAACCTTCTTTTTTTTTTTTTTGCACACGGCGGTGGAGGCCTAAAGCGAAAAGGTTTTATAAAACCCAGCTGAAGGCGTAGGACTGGGGCGACGGCGTGCACGCCCACAGAGAGGGCTCTGAGTGCCGCCTCTGGCACCCGTGCCATAGGTTCGCCACCACTGGTATAGGTCTACCAGCTGCTCAACTACATGGATATATGATCTGATCCAGCAGGTCTCTTTTGCAATATTTCCAGCATCCAAGCAGCAGTCCACATACAATTTTATTCGCTTGTTTGCAGTGTGTTTGCATACCATCCTCCAAAACAGCAAAATTTGTAAACCTTAACAGAGCATGTACAAATACCACACACAGAACAGCTCATACTCTGCTAGAGGGATGTTCCCTGAAGGTGGGCTCTAGCACGAGTCCAAAAGCTTGGAATACAAAATACAAAACTGAGTCAGATTGGATCCTGCAACGTTATCCTGAGACACATATATTTGCCTTCACTCTTAACAGAGAGCAAGACCCTGAACCCACCCTAAACCTGAATACAGGTAGTCCTTGACTGACCAGAGTTCATTTAGTGACTGTTCAAAGTTACAATGACACTGAAAAAAGTAACGACCATTTTTCACATTGTGGTATCCCCATGGTCACGTGATCAAAATTCACATGCTTGGCAACTGACTCATTTCTGATCGTTGCAGTGTCCCAAGTCATGTGTGACTGCCTTCTGCAACGTCGTGACAAGCAAAGTCAATGGGGGAAACCCGATTCACTTAACAACTGTTACTAATTTAACAACTGCAGTGATTCACTTGACAACTGCGGCAAGAAAGGTCGTAAAATGGGGCAAAATTCACTTAACCAATGTTTCACTTAGCAACAGAAATTTTGGGCTCAGTTGTGGTCGTAAGTTGAGCATTACCTGTATACTGTAAAACTACAATAAACGAGCAGTAAATTTGAACAGAAGAATAGATTGTTTTAAGTGTTTAAATTTAGAACTTCAGCAGGGGTAGGCAACCTTGGCTCTTTTATGACTCGTGGACTTCAACTCCCAGAATTCCTGAGCCAGCCATGCTGAGAGGAAAGGGAGAGGTTTCCAAGCTGAGCCATTCCTAGAGAAATCAAATACAGATAAATGAGGCATGTAGCATTCAAAGGGAGCAACCTGGCAACCAAGTTAATCTTTTCTAGAAAAGTTATCTGAGCATAATTTTAGGCTCTGGATCTCTATATTAAGAAAGGATGTGAGAAAGTTATCTGGCCCCAAGCTGGTTAGGGCTTCAAGGAGCAAGAGCAGCATTTTGAATGGACCTTAGATTCAAATACAGCCCCAAAAAGGTAAGAACAAGTATATTATGATTGCATTTTCCAGTGATCATAAACTGAGTCTTTAACGGCCAGGGTTGGGTAATTTGTTTTTAATGGCTTAGTCCCGCGGTTATCCACCGTCTATTTTTTAAAGAAAGAGTCCAACGCGGCAGTTCCCTCGGCACCTGGATGAAACAGAGTATCTAGACCCATACCAGTCGGGCTTCAGGCCGGGACACAGCACGGAAACGGCATTGGTCACGTTGGTAAATGATCTCTGGAGGGCCCGGGACAGGGGTTATTCCTCTGTCCTTGTGCTTTTGGACCTCTCAGCGGCTTTTGATACTGTGGACCATGGTATCAT